ACCAAAATGATAGAAACTATGTTTTTTTCTGGGAGGGCACATTTCTTTCTTGGCTGTGAGACGCAGTAAGATGCAGTCGCTGCAAACAGGTATGTTAGGATGATGTGAAGGGATGTTGGATTGATGAACAGGAGTTTGGTTTTTGGGACACTATAAAATTCATGATATCATTATTACGAGTTAGAAAATAGTAAACAAATCTATTAAGGTGCAGAAAGAGAGAGGATGTGTTTTGAAATGACTCCAGTTAGAGTATTTGTTCATCTGTTGATAAACTGCTCCAAGGTTGATGTTTTTACAGAATTATTTCAGGTTTTTTTCATTGTAAGTCAATCATTAGAAGCCTTGTTATTTAATAAAACTGTTAAAAGTGTTAATCTGTTATAGGTTTAGTTGGGAGTGTTTTAAAGTACCTGCTGTTAAACAAGCCCATGATTTATTTACTGTTAAAGGAACGAGCAGGGAGCTCGTTAAGTTTATTCTCCGAGTTCCCTTCTGCTTCTCAGGTTAGTGCTCATTAACCTGATAACATTTTAGCTCTCCAGCTTGTGTGTTTGCAAGCATGGATATCTCCTCCCCTACTGATGTGAAAGAGATAAATCTGTGGTTGCAGTTCATGCCAGGAGAGGGTACTGTTTTTCAGCTTTTTTACCTCTGCCTAAGAAAACTGATTTATTCAATCCCAGATTTTTTTTCAGGGTAGAATGATTATGCAACAGATGACAGCAGAGATTTCTTAGATGGGTGCACAGTTTCAAATGATAGTTGGTTACCTTTAACCGAGAGAAGCTCAAAATTATACATACAGGTTTAAATACATAGGAACATGACATGCACAATTACTTTGCAGTTATACCTAGCTTAGAAAACTAGCTTACCAAGCTTAAAAAGACAAATTATTTCAGATTAAAGGTCTGGCTTATGGAGTTCAACACAAATAGGGTGAATCATTAAATATCTTCTATTTTTTATGCAAAATGGGTCAAAAACAAGGTTTTTTAACATGCTTAATAAATATTTGGGGTGTGATCTCAGAACCATGACAGATTTTGTTGGAATTTGTTTACATGTTTGCAATAAATATGAAGATAAGGGAAAAAGAGGCCAAATAACTGTCAGAAATTAGAGAAGAATTAAAAATGAGAAAATGGTGCCTTTATACTGCAGAAATGCAACCTGTAGGGTTGGGAATTGATAAGATTTTCACGATTCTGATTCCCTTATCTATTCTGTAAACAATTCGATTCCTTATCGATTCTCTTATCGATTCTGAGAAACAACGAACTTGGTAAGAGCACGTTGACTTTCGTCTACCTTCGCCTGGGACGTTCTATTTCTGTCTGCCTCTGCGAAAACAGAAGGCAGTGAACAGGAGCTACCAGCCTCTGAGCCAACCAGGCTACCCATCTCGTCACAGTCATCTAAATCTAATGGAGAAGGCATCCGTTTAATGAAAAAGCATTACTGTACAATTTCAGGAAATTGTGTCACCTTTCTCTCGCTCCCTGAACTGTGGAGCAACTTCGTAGCATGTTTAATAACCCCAAAGAGAGGTAGGAAACTGGTTTATTTCCAGAAATGGCATATGATTTACTAGGAACCACATTAAGCACAGCCAGTGATATAAAACTAGCTACTTACCACCAGAGTTGCCTTCCATGCTGGTCGTAACTTTAGCTTCTGTTTGGAAACATCAAAAACACGGCATTCGTTAAAATGTATGCAGTGTTGTGTGCGTAGGTGTTTCTGCATGTTGGATGTATTTCCTCCCGCGGATGTTATTGCCACTTTACATCCAAACTTTCGATCACTTTACGTACCTACGTACTTGCTTACTGAATGACGTGTGCGTAACTTAAGTAAAAAATCATGACGTAACTCCTGCTGCCCATAGCTAGGCTCTGGTGCTGCCTGGAACCATTAAAAGAACCGTTAAGTGAGCTGCCAAATGGTGCCATGGAATTGGAACACACAATTCCCATCCTACTACCTGGAGGACCCAGTAGTAAACACTGCAAAAACGGATGATCAAATGAGTCATTTCAGGTCGAACAAAGGTTTTCTCGGCCGCCCTGGTGGTCTGTAGGGGAAATACCGTACTTGCACTTGCAAGGGGCCCTCGGCCCCAACCCACAGGCTCAGAAGTCTCATTCATCGCGAGAGTCGGTCTTGCTTTACGGCGAGAACAACTTAGCTAACTACAATCTTTGTTATTTAGACACATGCATAACAAATAATGTATGAANGCTAGTTTCATCGGCTGAAGCCGCCATGTTCTTTAGAGTGAACGGTCGCGCTTCTCGTTGCGTCACACCTCATCCCGCCTCAAAGCCAACGCTGATTGGATGTTCATTTGGTGAACGGTTACAAATTTTCTTTAACGGAGAGTCTCCAGACTGATCTGCGAGTGAAACCTTGAAAGCTCGCGAGATCAGGATGGTCTCAAGAGGCTAGTTCAAAGCTGATTGGCTTGCCAGAGGTGGATGAGGGTAAGTAATTCAGTTTCTTTAGTTCAACTTCCGCCTAGGCTTCATTTCAATCTGAAAAACCGCACAGGAAAGAAAAAGACAATTAGAAAAATGTTATTGATACAATTACTTTAGTCTTTGGGGCTCAGACCTCGGCAGGAAACATTAGTGCTGAATTTAGCTTTGATATGCATAACCAGGAGTATAAGAACAGGGATGATTCCCCCAAAAAACGTTCAGAGGCTAAGGCAAGTAGGTCAGCATGCTCAGAAGGCAGAGACTTGAGTTGAAAGCTAAGAAACGTAGAACAGCACAATGGGAAGGGGAGATGTACTGCGACGGCTTACCAAAAAGGGGGCCAGTGCCGCAAAGGCCTACCAAAAGAGGAATGTTGCTGTGAAGGTTTACCAAAAGAGGGCCGTTGCTGCAAAGGCTTACCAAAAAGGGGACTGTTGCTGTGAAGGTTTACCAAAAGCTTCATAGAAGGGATAGTTGGATGAATGATTGGGAGGGAATGGAAGATAGATGATGAGAGGAAAAGACCTTGGTGTATCAACCATCTAGGGTGATGAGTTACAGGAGTGAGATGGATGATATGAGGATCGGTTATAAAACACAGATTTGAAAGAATCAGGCGTACACAGGTCTGGCGAAGGATGTGAATGAGTTTCAAAACCACCACCAGTATTTGCAGTTACTTACCCCAAAAGCAGATAGAGCGTTTAGCGGGTAGGATGGGTGAATGAACAG